CAGCTTGACGACGCCGCCAAGGGGCGCCGCTACCAGTTCTTCGACGCGGCCCAGAAGATGCCCAGATGAGCAATTCGAGCTGATCCCCTCGCCCCCCCCGATGACGCACGAGATCGAGGGTTGCGACGCCATCGCAAGGTGCCCAGTCGACCAATGGGAAAGATCAGGGAGGAAGGCCTCCACGGTGCAGAGCTGGTGCGAGATGGCGTCGAAGATGGCGAAGAACGACGAGGATGACATCCACGCAGTAATGAAGATAGCCATGAAGGAGCTGACCACTGAGGACAACATGGGTCCAGAGGAAGTGAAGAGGCCGAAGGGGCGCCAGAAGCTACGAAACATCACCCAGACCGCGCTGGACGGCACCGAGATCTTCGCTGCTAAATTTGGCGGCCCCAAGTCGGGGGAGACGACTGTAGCCAGCTCCTCCAGCGGCCGCCGACAAACGCACCCACTGGAGCCTGATGCCATGCCAAGAAGAAGCATTAGCGAGGTTTCTCGGAGTGCCACTCTAGGCGAGCTGCAGGCTGGCCGTGCCCACAGGCGGTCAGGAGGAACAGTGGCGAGGTTTCTCGGAGTACAACTCATGACAGACATAATGGGCACCACAGCGCTCGCACCGCCATCGGAAGGGGAAGAATTTCTTGGAGTGCCGATAGGCACGCTGCTGCAGGGAGTCGAAGGAGAAAAAGTGATTATCAGGAAGCCCACCACTGTGCTCCTCATTGGCCCTACCACATACCGTGACTACCAGTATGCTCTACCTCACATGCACTTCGAGGGGGAACGACGGGTTACTTCAACAGGGTATCAGCGTACAAATGCGACAATACATGGGTCGTTTCTCGGAACGACCGAGAAGTGAACCAAGCGGGAGAAGAGAGCACGGAACGAAAACCGTAGAATAAGCAGGCCCCCCAGCAACAGTTTGGGGTCTCGGGCCTTCTGTCCCTCCCCCCTCTCCTCCTTTTGAGTTCGTGTCGTCGTCTCCTCCCCTCTCCGGCTTGGGCGCTCTGCTGCGCCCGCGCGCCCCCTCCTCTAGGGCATGCGGAAGGGCCAGCAGCCGCCCCCCCCGCATTGACCCGCGGGGACTCGCGATGTAAGGTATTTTCCTCCCTGCTCATCCTCCTCCTCGCGCTCGCCCTCGTGCCAGTCCTCGTTTCCGCCCTCGTTTTCGCTCGGTGCGCCGGATGGGAACACGCCCGGCGCGCCCGGCGCGCTTGGCGCATCGCCATGACATGGTCCCCAAGTTGATGTGTATATGTCCTCCCGGGAGAAGGGAGGGTAAGCATGAGTGCTCAGCGTGCAGAGAGGCATGTATACGGCAAAGCGGCGTGACTGCCGCTTTGGCTCAAGCCATTCAGTGAGAAGCCTCTCTCTAGAGGGTGCGAATCCTGTGTGCGGCGGCAGCCTCCCCCCTTTCCACCATCATTCCATATCAGATAATCAAGATTATCGACATCGCGACGATCCTCGTGGTCCTCTCCCTCTTCGTGGCCCTCGGGGCCAGCAGGGCAGTCAGGACTGGCACGCTCGGCGTGCGTGTATCACCCTGGCCGGCGGACGCGCTGGCCGAGCTGGACAGCTACGACCCTCGGGAGGTGTTGACCTGGGAGGGTGAGCATCGGCAAAACAACTTGGTAGCGGAGCAGGTGCGATCCCGTACCTGCTCCCAGGATACGACACCACTGCGCTACTACGACTACGTCATGTCCAACGCTCCACAGATGGCGGGTGGATTACCAGCGGGACCTCAGATCATGCAGTCAAATACGAAGACGCCCCCGAGCTGGGATCCCGCCAGGGAATCTTCATATCCACTCCGTGACTGGATCACGGATATTCGCATGTGGGAAGCGATGACAGACATACCGGCACGTTCGATTGCTCCAGCCGTGGTCTTACAGTTATCAGGACTGGCAAGAGAGATATCGAGAGAGGTGCCGCCAGATCAACTACAAGACGGAGTTTACATGGACTTACGTGATGGCGCTGGACATCGATGGTGTTCGGGGCTAGACTTATTGATTCATGGGCTGCGGCGCAAATTCATGCCACTGGAGGTGGAGACCGCTATCGCGAGCATGACCGACCTCGTTGCCTTCCGTCGGAGGCCAGGCGAACCGATTGACCAAGCTCTGGCTCGATTTGATCTTCTGAAGTTCAAGGCTGAGCATCTGGGAAATTTTCATATGGGAATCCCGAATCTGGCTTGGATGTTGCTCAATGCTCTTGGTATTCCACCGCCACAGTGGGCGCAATTTCTGGCTCCAACGGGAGGTAACTTGCCAACGAATGAACAGGAGCTTTCAAGTCTTACCTCTTTTATCAGACGTCAGAATCATTTGTATGAGCGGAGTGGACTCGCGCAGGCAGCTCATCAATCCAGACATCAGCACTTCACCAACTCCGCAGGTGCCGGCGATGGGTTCTATTTCACAGACAGTTCACAAGACGCCGGCACACAAGCGGGAGTACCACCGCCACCTATGCCCTACTATCCCAGTGCATCGTCTTCGTCGAGGTCCGGTGCACCACTCGGTGGCGTCGCTGGAATATCGAATGGATCAAATACAGAAGGATGCTGGTGCAGTAATTGCCATAGAATATTCTACGACCGGGAGGATCCGGACTCCACCGAGACGAGTGATGACGACGGCAACGATTTGGCGGAGTCGACCTTTCATATCAGTGCCCAGATGAGTGACAGCGACCTGTATGAAGTATACGCTTTGGCCAAGAAGCACTGGAGGAGGCGAGCAGACAGACTTCCAAGACGTCGTAGATACAAAGGCAAGGGCAAGGGCAAGAAAGGGGTCAGATTTCAGAGAAACAGTGGATGGTCCTTTCTTTCGGAGGCAGGAGACGGAGCTCTTTGCCCCGGGTGTACGTGGAACACTCACGAATACTACAAGGGCAAGGGCAAGGGCGAGAAGACAAACCCGAGAGGCGCGAACGGACAGCCGCTTCGATGTGACCACTGCAACAGCGAGAAGCATCTATGGAGGAAGTGCGACGCTCCAGGAGCTGACGATTACCGACGAAAACGGGCTACCTCAGGAGGAAAAGGTTACGTTACGACGGAAGGAAACACGAGTACAGGAGGAGCCCCACCAGCTGCAAGCTTCTCCAGCGCGTTGCAGCACTGGCAACAGCTCACGGGTCAACCGCCAGCTTCAGCAGGGACCAGACACTTCTTCGCCATGCCGATCAACCTGGAGTCACAGGTGGACGAGTCCAGGGATGACGAGAAGGAGTACGAGGACAGCTACTACCCGGACGTGGAGGAGGAAGGCTCGCGCCTGTGCGAGTCGCATGCACGGCCAGACCTTCAAGAGGAGGTCCGCCGTGACTGTGCTTCGTCCGCATCTTGGGATATGCTATCGACTCCCTCGGAGTTCGTGAACATCGGCAATGAGACGATCCGGATGATTGAACAGGCGAAGGCTCGGATTACAGACGACCCGGAAATGGAGGCAACTCTTGGAGAGCATCGGTCCAACGACGAGCAGATTGACTCAGGAACCAAACCTGCGGGATTGAAGTGGTTTGTGGGACCGGTGTTCGAGCGATACGATGAGACACGACAGGTATTTCTAGAGGCTACACGAATTGATGGTAAAGAGTGCTTGTTGATAGATCCAGGCGCATATGACAATTTGGTGGGTGACAGATGGGTTATGCGAATGGGAGCTTTGGCAAGACAGGCAGGCTTGGAACCGACACAACGTCTGATGGATCAATCGATCGGAGTTGAAGGAGTCGGCACCAACGCTCAGATCGCCAAGGAGGAGGTGACGATGCCAGGCGCATCCAAGGATGAACGAGGCAAGGTGCATCAGATAAGCTACAAGGCCCCAGTGGTTCCGGACTCTGACATTCCCGCTCTCTGGGGAAAGCGCAGTCTGAAGCACAACAGGGCGGTGGTCGACATGATCAACAACAAGTTGTATCTGTGTGGCCCGGGAAGAGTACAGTTTACACCACCGCCGGGGACGCTCACGTTCAACCTGGAAGATTCAAGATCAGGACATCTGCTGTTACCTATTTCGCATTTCTTCGGCAACGGTAAGGACAAGAAGGTTCGCGCGAAGCAGGAGCCGGCCACCTGGCATGCGAGTACGCCTGTGATCGCCAAGCCCATGATCAAAGATAAGGTGAAGGAGGACGAGGCGGACTTGTCGACGCACGAACCGTCACCGGCCATCACCTCGAGGCCTGCGGGGCATTGAGGGTGCGGACCGCCGTTGCCAAGCGACGGCGGTGCCGCAGGAAATCATCTAGCTTGGCATCTGGACGTCCCCGAACAGGACCCGGATATCATAGTGATAGACGAAGACAACGGCCATCCGATTCGCACGAAGCTGCTGAGTCAGGCCCACATCACCTACACCCGCCTAAGTCTCCTGCACACCTCGACCATGGAGCATATTCTCCGACTTTTGGAGCGAGGGAAGTGTCGAGGTGTTTGGATGCGATTACATTCTCTTATACCTGACGTTACTAGAAGACAAGGGAAGACCCGAAAACAAAGGCAAAGATTGATGGCGACCTCCACACTCATCGCGCGCTTGATTCAGCTTCGGTGCGTGCTGGTGGTCGATTCCCAAACTGCGAATGAGGCCTGGCAGGAGGATGATCTTCTCAGAGCGACGGCAACGACCCTGCCAGGATATCGGATGACAGATCATCGATGGTGCAGCTACTTAACGTCAGGCAACGACATGGCCCCGACGACCAGCCAGAGATTCTTTTCCAACCTGGACCTGCTGCCTGACTCGTGCAGCTGTGGTCGTAAGATTTCAGATCATCGTAGATCGGCGGGGTTGGAACACGTTCAGCTTGAAGGTCAGTTTCTTACCGTATTCTGGCAGAATAGACTCCGAGACAAGCTGTGCGATGCAGTTCGAGGAGAGGTACAGGACGATAATGATACGGATCGAGCTGCACGATATCCGCAGACGGGACCGGATGAGCCCGTTGACTCCCACATGGTGGTGATGAAGTCGAAGACGGTCAGTTTCTATCCGACCGACTCGGCCAAGGCTTACAAGGAGAAGCTGAAGTCCAGGAAGGCCGAGGGACACGAACCGAAGAAGAAAGTCAAGAGGATTATAGATCCCGACGTCATGGATGACTGTGGCGAGGACCTCGGAGAGCTCAACTACCTACAGAACGAGGAGGTGTGCTGGTGGGAGATGCCGGACAATGAGGTGGAGGATTACTATCTGGAACCGAGTGAGTTCAAGACGGATGATATCATCGGACGACTCAGAGATGAACGTCCTCCAGATCGAGAACGACATTTCCTTGGCATCCCATCGGGTCGATCCTTCCTGAATCACCTAAAGCAGACCGAGAGCCGTTTCTTCGTAGATGTCGCTGAAATCACGGGAGGAGAAGGACGCACCACTCAGCTACTCGTTCGACGACACTACGTGGGAGGTCGTAATTTTGATGCTCTCATGGGCGTGGATCTCCTCCAGCGGGACGAGGAGATGGAGCTCTACCAATATTTGAAGGAGGAGCGACCCTTTGTGTTGGTGCTGGCTCCTCAATGTACTGGTACCGCGGGATGGTGCACGGTAAACGAGTCGATCGGCAGCGAGGTGCATCGTCGTAATGCGGAGGCATCTTTCAGACTAGGACAGATTTGTGCGAAGGCAGCCCATATTCAGTTGGACGGAGGACGCCACTACGTCAATGAGCTGCCGAGGGGAAGTCGTATTTATCGAACTTCAGAATGGATGGATCTGGCACGTAAGAATCTCACTTGGGTTCAGTTCAACATGTGTATGCTGGGACTTGTCAACTCGAAGAAGGAGCCCTTGAACAAGCCGGAGGAGGTATGGGCGAGTCACGAGGTGCTGACTTATCGGCTGCGTTCCAAGGAGTGTGATCGTCAGCATCGACATGGGGAATGCTCTGGACGGGACACCAAGCCTTCCCAGGTATGGACATGGCAGTTCGCTCGTATCTTGGCCGATGGGATCTCCGAGTTGATATGGCTTCACGAATTGGACCTGAGGAAGTTGATCTATCCGACAGTAATGGCGTACCCGAGGATGAATGGCGAAGGAGTACCCGCTCCGATTGACCATCCTCCACCTGGACTACCAGCTCCAGCAGCAGAGGCAGCGGCAGCAAGTGCTCCTCCGCCACCGCCCGCACCAGAAGAAGCGGTCGATCCCCGTGCTCGTCGGGCGGCGATTGGACCTCATTTATGTCCTGGATGTCGGAGAAATCGAGTCAGCACGCATCCGACACACAATCGCATCCCGGGACAGTGTCGACATCCGCTGGTACAACCGCTGGAGTACAATTGTCCCGCGTGCAGAACGGGTCGAGATCGGCACGATCCCCGACACACTTTTGACACAGACTGTCGCCTCCTCATGGACGAGCCCAGAATGATTGGGACGAGAAGATCGGGACCCGCTCACGCTCGAGATCCAAGAGTACCGGCAGCACGAGCGGCAGGTGCCGGACATCGAGTACATCCTCGAGCAGGAGAAGAAGAGGAGGACGCCGCTCCACATCCTGAAGCCGGACCCTCAGGTGCTGCCTCGGCAGCAGCTCGGGAAGGCGATGATGACGTATAACTTTATCCTGAAGCTGGACCCTCTGGAGCGGCTCCGGATGCAGCAGCGGAGGAAGCCATTCTTCCTGCAGGAGGACCAGGACCTCCGGCCGGGGCAAGCGGAGACGAGGTGGCACTGAGGAGGCGCAGATTTCAAGATGCTATGGCCCAGATCGACACAGGAGCGGACTGGACGCAGTGGGACATGGGACGTGCTATTCAGGGGCTGAGATCAGCGGTTCCTGGAATGGTGCAACGTACTCTACGTCGTATGCATATACGACTCTGGCACGCTCCAGCCCAACGACTACGAGACCTTCTCTCAGCCGCAGGTCTACCACGTGAAGTGATCAATATGGTGCAGGACGTCGTGGACACTTGCACCGTCTGTCGAGAATGGCAGCGACGAGGCGAAAAGTCGATGACAAGTTTAACGTTCACCACGACCTTCAATGAAGGAATTCAGTTTGATTTGCTTTTCCTGGATGACGGTATCGTGGTGCACTTGATCGATATGTGTATCAGATGGGCTCAAGGGCTATTCGTGAAGTCAAAAGAGCCGGGTGATGTACTCCCGGCCATCACTCATATTTGGTTTCGAGTCCATGGCCCTCCGAAGTTCATCACTTCAGATCAGGAGGGAGCATTGTTCTCGGATGAAGGAGCTATCTGGGCAGATCGCTGGAAGGTGGACCTGAGACCGAAGCCCAAAGGAGCGCACGCGCATGTTATTGAACGGAGGAATGACTTACTTCGAACACAGTATCATCGAGTCAGAAGTCAAGCAAATGAGGAAGGCATCAGAGTTTCGAAGGAAGAGTTGCTGGATGAATCCTTGTTGGCCATGAACACCCTCCTCAGCGTTCACGGAACTACCCCGCATGCGGCTTTGTATGGTCGGGTTCCGAACATTCTACTGGAGCTCGGAGGGGGAGGATCTGAGTTCGACGACGAGTCGGGAGGCTCAGTATCTCGCCATGTTCATCGGGTCCGAGAGTTGGCTCTGGCCAACATCGTGCAGGGCAACGCTCAGGAGAGGCTGAAGATAGCGGCTCGCACGCGAACGAGACCAGCGGCTCAGCTCGGAGACCTTCGGGTAGGTGACTCGGTGGACATCTTCAGGGACCCGCCGAACAAGGATGTCACTGGCTGGCGGGGACCTTGCAAGGTAGTTGCCATGGATCGAGCTGACGAGGGCACCATAGACGTGCGATGGCAGGGTCGCACGCTACCGTGCCGACCGGCCGATGTTCGTAAGGCAGTAACATGGTGGACTCTGATTGCGGCTCCTGGCCGCGGGGACACCAAGCCGTACCAGCTCTTAGTATACTATGTGGAGAACATGGCGGCGGGCACGACGTTACTCCTGGGATATGAGATCGGAGAGGATGGGCACTGGAGGATGACGAAGACCAGTCGTCGGCTGCCGACTCTGACGACGGCAGCTTTCCACGTGGCTGCCTGCGACTTTCAACTATACGGAGTCGTAGCCACGAGACTGGGGTACGGTTCGCGAGAAGTTCCAGCTGCCCGAGGCCATCACACATGCATGATCGTATGGTGGTTTCCAGGAGAATCGATTGGCTATCACCATGCAAGTTTCGATCCTCGAGCGAAGGCGAGTACACAACATATGATGGGGCCAGGTTTCGGGCGCGTGTGCTGGGTGCAGTTTCTAATGGTGGAAATTTCTACAGCCGAGGTTCTGCGACAAATTGATGTTCACGTCCCTCATGTTGGAGGACCGCATCAGATGCCCGACTTCCCAGCACCGCGCGGTCAGGTACGGCCGCGCGATCCGCATGACGTGGACGAACGATCGGATCGATGGCATCGCTGGCCGACACCCGAGGCCACCATCGACGAGGAATCCGAGGCATCTGAGCCTCAGGCTCAAGGGGTAGCTCATCCCCGAGATGCAGAGGCAGACCCCGAACTGCTAAGACCTACGTGGCGACCATTTCAACAGCCGTACCGTATCGAGCCAGACGGCAATTCAGATGTGCAGGATCTGTGGTTGGAACCTTGGGATCCTGGATGGATGCGACACGTGAGGACAGAGTTCAGTTTCTTTCGTGCCATCCTTGACAACCGATCACCGCCTGATGCAGAGTACTGGTTAGATTCCCGAGTGTTGGAAGCTGTTGAGGTGGCTACTCATCTTGAGAATACAGAAAGGGAGACGCAAGCTCTGGAGGTGGAGTTTGGATCGGAGATTTCCAGGCTTGTGATCATGACCTCTGATACGCACGACTTTCCCAAGTCAGAGATCTTTTCCCTCTTTGCGAACGACGAGAGACACCGCATTATTCTGCCCGTCAACTCGACAGGGAAGACCAAGATGGTTATTGAACGAGAGGCTGACGAACTCAACAAGGAGGACCTGATTAAGCATCGAGTGGAGGTGGAAAAGGCTATGTCGAAGGAGCTAGGCAACTGGATCGAGTTGGGCGCGCTCAAGCAACGCAGCAGGCAAGGATGCACCAACTTGATGGACTCTCGATGGGTTATCCGCTGGAAGAAGCAGCCAGACGGCAAGTTGGCAGTCAAAGCGCGACTATGCATCAAGGGCTTCAAGACACTTTCAGTGCGACTGCCTCCAGGCAAAGCCAGAGGATAGTGAACTTTATCGCGGCCAGTCGCCCCAAGTGGATGTTGTGGTCCTGTGATGTTGGCAGCGCATTTCTGAAGGGACTCACATTTCAAGATGTGGCGGATATGACAGGGGAACCTCTCAGAACCGTTCAGTTGGACCTGCCCAAGGACACGGTGAAGATCGCGAGGCAGTTTGAGCCGTTGTCCAACTATGATGTGAGTCGGCATTGCTTGGAGATGGTACGTCCAGGTTTCGGTCTTAAGGACGCGCCAAGGCTATGGAATCTCAGGCTAAAACAAGTAATGACGAAGCTTCAGCTTTTGCCGTTGGTGACCGATTCTCAATTTTACTGCAAATGGGCTGGCTCTCGATGTGAACCGGTACCTCGTGAACTGGTACCCCTGCACGCTGACAGGGAAGCGGATCGATGCACAGACGTGTTGTTCACTGACCCGAACACAGCAATTGAGGATCTGCAGATGGTGTGCAGTACCCACGTGGACGATCTCAAGGGAGCTTCGACCGAACCGATTGCTGATGCCTTCATGGATGCTCTTGAGTCGGAGTTTGGAAAACTCACAAGGCAGAAGAGAAGGTTCGAGCACTGCGGCGTCATTCATGATCAGCATGAAGACGGATCGGTGTGGTGCTCGCAGGATCACTACGCTGCTCAACTTCGGCCAATGCAGGTAGACAAGATTCGAGCTGATGAAGAAGCCCTCGATTCTCAAGACCGAACTTCATTTTGGTCACTCTTGGGTGGAGCAGCCTGGATGTTAGTCACGCGAGCAGATGTTGCAGTCCATATCGGGTATCTACAGCGACACGCTCATGAACCTTGCTGGAAACATGTCAGACATTTGAACTCAGTTGTACGGTGGATCAAGAGAAAGAAGAGTTCGCTCGTCTACTATTCAGTACCTTTGCCATGGAGTGTTGTGGGTTTCCCCGACAGTGCTTTTCGCGCGACCGAGCCGGACTGCCTGGCTGTGAGAGCGGCAGTTATCGCGATTGCTGGTCGGGACTTCATGCCGAAAGGAGGACTATGTGCAGCAGTGGAGTTCTACTCACGAAAGCAACCTCGAGTATGCCGTTCTACTTTCTCAGCGGAGCTGGCAAGTGTGGATGACGGTATCAGCAATGCTTTGTTGACACAAGTTATGGTGTGCGAGATCGTTCACGGCCCCTTGACGGCGAAACAGATTCAGAAATGCATGGACACCGGAAGGCTACCAGTTGACTTGCACATTTGCACGGACAACAGGGGCTTGTTTACGGCGCTGGGTGCCACCGAGCTGAAGGCACCAGCGGAACCTCACCTTTTGTATTTGCTGAGAGCTCTACGTGACAGACTTGAAGCAGGTACTCTCTGTAAGCTCTGGTGGGTGGACACTAGAGCCATGATCAGCGACGCGTTGACCAAGGGCGGATTGGCTCGAGAACCTATCTTGAAGCTATGGGAGACGGCAGTTTTGATGATAACTGGAGATGAACCTCTGGCTCTGTGCCTGCGGAGTCCTCACAAGGACACCAGTGAGGGGGAATATCAGTGAGTCTTTATCTTTACATACGTCGATGGATTGCAAGGTTTTCTTTTGATGAAGATTGGACTGCTATCTTTGCAGGGAGGATATGTTCCCTATATCTTTTTTTGTGTCTACACTGCGGTAGGCCTTACATGTGACTGGTGCGAGTCGTATTGCTCCTCGCTGTGTTGCTTGTCTGTTACTGTGGTATTGGCAGTAGCTCTTGATGTGCTCTTTATGTGAATATATGTACTTTTGCCGTCTGTCCACTTCTTTTAGCCTCGGGAGCTCCCGTGTTGTGTTTAGGGTGCTCCCACAGAGAGCGCTGTGTGTTTGTTTTGGCAACTTGCCTATCAGAGGTCGGTTGCAAGTGGCGGGCCAGCCGCGTAAGCGAATCTGCTGTGCCCTCAGTGCGTACGCGTGGGATCAGCTCGTAGACTTTCGCTGAGTTTTTCCCACCCCGAGTTGATGTGTATATGTCCTCCCGGGAGAAGGGAGGGTAAGCATGAGTGCTCAGCGTGCAGAGAGGCATGTATACGGCAAAGCGGCGTGACTGCCGCTTTGGCTCAAGCCATTCAGTGAGAAGCCTCTCTCTAGAGGGTGCGAATCCTGTGTGCGGCGGCAGCCTCCCCCCTTTCCACCATCATTCCATATCAGATAATCAAGATTATCGACATCACGACGATCCTCGTGGTCCTCTCCCTCTTCGTGGCCCTCGGGGCCAGCAGGGCAGTCAGGACTGGCACGCTCGGCGTGCGTGTATCACCCTGGCCGGCGGACGCGCTGGCCGAGCTGGACAGCTACGACCCTCGGGAGGTGTTGACCTGGGAGGGTGAGCATCGGCAAAACAACTCCCCAGGGGTGCACTGGGAGCCCATGGGGCGGTTGCGCGAAGATGCCTCGAACGAGTGCGCCGGATCAGGACACGCCTGGCGCGCCCGGCGCGCTTGGCGCATCGCCGCAAATGCTTGGGGGTGCGCTGGCGGCCCGCGGGGCGATGTTGCGAGGATGTCTCGAGCAAGGGCGCCGGATCGGGACGCGCCAGGCGCGCCCAGCACGCCCGGTGCGCTGGGGGTTCGCGGGGCGATTTGCGAGAACGTCTCGAGCGATTGCGCCGGATGGGGGCGCTCCTGGCGCGCCCAGCGCATCGCCGGAAATGGTCCCTGGGAGTGCGCTGCCGTCAGAGGGGCGATTTTGCGAGGATGCCTGGAGCGAGGGCGCCGGATGGGGACACGCTTGGCGCACCCGGCGCGCCCGGCGCATCGCTGGGGGCGCGTTGCGGGGCAACTTTCTCGAGCGCCGGGGGTCAGGATGATTTGAATTCCACAAGAATTTCCTCAAACAAAGGTTCCTTGTCCAACTCTCGCACCGTAGTCCTTATCCCCGCTTCCTCCTCCCTTCTCCTCCCCTCACCCCTGCGTCGAGAGGAGGAGGAGGAGGAGGAGGAGGAGGAGGAGGAGGAGTGTCTAGAAGCTAGCTGAAGTCTTGATCCATTGTCTACATACGGCAGGAGAGCGCTGAACATTCTTGAAAAGGGCAAGATGCAGCCAATGTACTCGGAGTGGCCCCAGCCAGACGGTCTGGAGCCTGCCAAGCAAGTGATAAACTAAACCCATGCTTCTGGCCAGGCCAATGCGCCCCCTGTCAAAATCAACAGGCGCGAAGTCAGGCAAGAAGCAAGAGGAAAAGGAGGAAAAGGAGGAGGAAAAGGAGGGGGGGGAGGTGGAGCAGGAGGAGGAGAAAAACGAGGAGGACGAGGAGGAGAATATTGATAATTGATGATGAGGAGGAGGAGGAGGAGGAGTGAGCAGAAGAAGGAGGAGAGAGGGTGAGGATGATATAGAATGGTGAGGAGGGGGACGAAAACTAGCAGCGAGGAGGAGAAAGGAAGAAAGAGTGAGAAAGGATGGAGCAGAGAGCAGAAAAAGGAAGAGGTGAGGAGGAGAAGGAGGACAAGGAGACGGCGCAGGGCCTAGAAGGTTTGACGGAGCAGCGAGGGAGAGAACGGTTGGATGAGAAGGAGAAGGAGGTGAACATATTATGATGATCATGATGATGATGATGAGGAGGATGAGGATGAGGATGAGGATGAGGATGAGGATGAGGATGAGGATGAGGATGAGGATGAGGATGAGGATGAGGATGAG